AAAGTGAAGCATCAGCTTCAGCTTTTCCCCCTGTCGTTTATCCCAGCGTTTACCCCTCATGTCACTAGCTCCGCCCTTGCGCCATAGCTCGTGACCGGAAGAGAAGATGAGTCGTTTTGAGGGGGAGGGGAGGTTGCACGGATAGATTATTTATAATAAACACTACAGTATTCCATTAAAAAAATAAGAATTTTCAATTTTGATTTCATGCCGACTTTAATATACACCAGTCACTGTAAGCCCCACCCTCTAATATACGCTAGTCACTGTAAGCCCCACCCTCAGCCCCGCCCTTTAATATAAACCAGTCACCGTAAGCCCCGCGCTCAAACATTCCCCAGTGCGTCTCCTCAGGCCCCACCTCCACACAATGCCACACCCCCTCTTTCAAACCCCACCCCTCCGGTCCCCAGGCTTGGCTCTTACTATGTGAAGCTCCAGATAGTCTCCGAGCCCCTTGGCGCTCTCCACCCGCACCAGAATGGCCTCCTTCAGCTGCGTACTGAAGCCCACGGCCAGCCGGTCTGCCCTCGTGCTCGGCCGGTCGTTCGGGGGCCACGTGTACGTGATGAGGGCCCCTCCGCGGCCGAAGATGTAGGTCGTCCCAGCTGAAACACAGACACAAACACACCATCAGAGAGAGCATCAGTCTAGCTGTAGTGTGAATGAGAGCCGGAGGTCACTGCGTCTGCTTCAGTCGTGTGCCGACGCTCATGACTGATTGTGTTCGAGAGACTTTCCAAATGCTTGGCTCCGTGGATCTGAGATCAAGAGCCAATCAGCACCTGTGAACAGAGCCCTAATAGAGCTTCATCAGAGCTGAGGCATGACTTTATACAACACACGCTCTGCAGTGAGTCACGCTGATCACACCACCAATGAAGCACATCACTGCATAAACATAAACACACACACGCACACACACACGCACGCGCACACACACACACACACAAACACACACACACACACACACACACACACACACTAGTTCATTCATATGCCATAATTCTCTTTTACTCTTTATTGTGAATCTATAAGTGACATTTCATTCAAAACTTTCTTGATCTTTTTCAGCACAGAAAATCAGAACTTAATGAATGCTGATCATCAGCTGTTTTTAAGCAAGCGGCCGATGTCTGCTAACCAAACTCCTCTTCCATCTGTGAAAGACGGAAAGCTGTTCCTCACCTCCACACACACACACACACACGCGCACACACACACACACACGCACGCACACACACACACACATGGTGGACTGAGCGGAGGTTTTACTCGACAAAGATAAAACAAAAAAGATTGCCCATGATGATAATTAAATGAAACATGCTGTTGACAAAATATAGAACTACACTATCTAGAAGAAGAATGTAGGAAGAGTTCATGCAAATACTGCCACAAAATGAGCAGTTTGAGCTGAATTGTAATATGTTGGCAATACATTAATACTTTAATATTACTAATTAATATCAATAAAGGACACATTTAATTGATCAAAAGCGACAGAACTTTCTTATGAACTTTCTATTCATCTGTGAATCCTGAAAAATAAAATGCATAAATTTCCACAGAAATATTGTGCAGCACAACTGTTTTCAACATTGATAATAATCAGAAATGTTTCTCGAGCAGCAAATCAGCATATTAGAATGATTTCTGAAGATCATATTACACTGAAGACTGGAGTAAAGCCGCGGTCACACTAGACTTTGAGCATGCAAAATTGTTTCGCATGCTGCAACGGTCGTGATATGACGTCACGCTGTGCAGCGTCTTTTTAAAAACTTAAATTCAACACGTAACAAATTATAATACATCTAAAATGTAAAAAACATCTAAGAAGGCATAACTTTTATTCTCGCTGTAGTATTGTTGCCGCCGCCGCCATGTCGTGAAGACGCTGTGGTTTGTCATTTCTCCGATCACAAATGCAGACAGGGTTTTATGTTTACGCGGCGCGATGCAACGCAACGCGTAAAAAGACAGTATAAGTCATTATAATCCGTAATTATGTCCCCACTGGATGTTACATTTTTACAATTTCTGCAGTTACATTTACATGAATGCATTTGGCCGACTCTTTTAATCAAAGCGCCTTGCATTGCATTTAAGGTGTACATTTATTTGATTAATTCATGCATTCTCTGGGAATCAAACCCATGGCTTCGCTGTCTCTATTCTGCAGGAAAGCAGTTAGTGCTTGTTGTGACCAGTAACCCATCTAACACTTCTGACCAACTCCTTCTGAAGATGAGAAGCGGTTGAGGATGTCAGCGGGTTTAAGCGATAATAATTCAACAGGAAGAAGAACAAATGAAAAGGCAGAAATAAAAGGAAGCGTCTCGTGACCAGGGGTGTGAAGTAACGAATTACAAATACTCACGTTACAGTAATTAAGTAGTTTTTATCAGTAATTGTACTTTTTTGAGTAGTTTAAAAATTGTGTACTTTTACTTGAGTACATTTTAAGTGATGTATCGGTACTTTTACTCCGCTATTTTCCTCCGTTTGTAGTTGTTACATGCTTATTTTAATTTCATTTTTATCCATCAACCTGATTGGATAGATAGTAATAGGTCTCGTGACTTTTGTCAAATCAAATTGTGCATAGAAAACTTTAACCGCCAACTGTTTATCATGGCTGCTGGAAGTGCATTCTTCAAGCATCAATTCAGTCGCATCTTCCTCTAACTTGATATGTTAAGGTAAATTTTGGATTTCTGCTTACTAAATGATTTGTATATAGGCTATGCTTGCCTATCTACACGGCCTGAAATTTGGTGTGAGGTTGCGGGTATTGCATACAGTGTTAACTCACGCAAGTGCCACGTTCGGTAAATTCCCACTCACTTATGAGACGCGCGATCTGCGCTGCCTCGTCTCTCTCTCGCATTCTTCATTCTTTATGACAAACAAGATAATGTGAATTACAGAATGTACAAAGTTTTTCAAATGTATAAATTGCGGTGTACAGCGTTTATTATGAGGGGGTAGAATCCACAGCTCAGTACTCACTACTCAATACTCATGAGTACTTTTAAATAGGCTACTCTTTTACTCTTACTCAAGTAGTTTTTTGGACAAGTACTTTTACTCTACTCACACACTACATTTTTTGGAAGGTAATGGTACTTTTACTTGAGTATATTTTTTCAGTACTCTTTCCACCACTGCTCGTGACTGGCGAGCAGCAGAACATCAGCCACACCTCCACAATTTCAGTCTGATCGAGAAACGCCGTCACAGTCCAGCCGTTCACAAGCACACAGCCGTTTAGCATTGACTCAATCGCTGCTCTCCTTCCCTCGGGCTACAGCTGCTTCAGACGCGTGCTGCTGCTTGTAGTATCTGGCATCTGACTAATTATCAGAGGAAAAACACATCAGAGAAACACAAGAGCCTCATGGGAAACAGAGCGAGGAGGAGGAGGAGGAGGAGGAGGAGGAAGGCAGGACTGAATTGTCTCAGAAGGAAAAACAGCAGCAGGACGAGTGCAAGACGCAGTTTCCTTTCATCACGTCTCTGTTCGTGAAGCGATGTCACACTAACCCATTCTCAAAACACAAAACAAAGAGAGAGTGTAAAATGGCTGCCGGGAACGGATGAGAGACATGTTGAGTCTCTCTCTCTCTCTCTCTCCCTCCAATCTCATTCCTTCTCCTCATGAATATGAAGTGTGACTGAAATGAGAGCGTGTCGCAGGAACTCACATCAACTGCAGCTTCATTCTGCTCAACTCATTCTCACTCTCACTCCATCTCACACACACACACACACACACACACACACTGACACGTCTGAGTGAATGAAGTGGTGTGTGTCGGTCAGTGAGACGCTCTGAGTGCTAAAATCACTATGCATCATCAAAACAGCATTAAAAACTTTATTCCTGATCGTCTGAGCTCAGGCTGTTATTCTAGAGCAGTGCAGAAGCAGAAATCTTCATCCTCATCCTCATCCTCACAAACCTCAGTAATGTAGAGATCAGCTGACCAGACGATCAATCCCATAAATCACATCACAGAAGAGATGCTGTGAATAATCATCACCACACCACAATAACAAACAGCCCTCTGCATAATGCATTCCTGCTGCAGTGCATGCTGGGAGCACAATGCACCGACTTGAACACGTCTGAATCAACTCCATTAGCTAATGCATCACATCTACAGACCCTAACAACCACACACAGCACCCTAGCAACCGCACAGCCCCATGTGACTGACGTGCTTTGATTTGTTGTGCGTCCAGTGATGAATTATAATGACTGCGGCTGATAATGAAGAGAGAGTGTGTGTGTGTTTAATCAATGGCTGAGTCAGAGACACTAGAGACAGCCGTCAGATGAACGTGTTTGATTCTAACACTCCTAATTGCTGTTATTGCAGGTCTAAATAAAAACAACACCACACAAGCAGTCTGGATACTAAAAAAATAATAAAAAGAACGAGTTCACACACACACGCACACACACAGACACACACACACACACACACACTGCAACATTTCTCAAAATGTCTCAATAACATCTATGCTCCACAAAAACAAAAGTCATGCAGGTCTGAAATACAGGAGGGAGTAAACGCTGACAGAATGATCATTTATAGCTGAACTGTCCCTTCATGATCAAGATCAATCCAGAAGCAGAAGCAGCAGCAGTAGCTGAAGAGAGTTGAGCTGAGATCCTGATCAATGCAGGGCTCCTCAGGAGCGCCGGCCGCTGAGATCAAACACATGCTGTCATCAGCCAGCAGGACCTGAGTGAGAGCACCTGCACCGCGGGATCGATGGAGACACGGCGCTGCTGTTTTTGGGGATTTGATCGATGCAGTGGACAATCAGATCTCCTCATGATCAGATCTGGACCTTCAGCACCATCAGAGCGGCATTTTCAAGAGATGAAATAAAGCTCAAATAAAATGTAAATATTAAATGAACAACTTAAATCAAAATTAAGTTGAAGTAAAAACTAATAAATTTACATATAAAATGTAATTTTAATAAATCAAGAGAGAGAGTCACTTCATCAGCATTTTACCTTTTCTTTTGAGAAAAACTATCGTCATATCATATACAAACAGAAACTTAAAGGGCTTCACAGCAATCCGTCAAAATAACAGTTGGTTTAATTTGAAGAAACTGTGACAGAAATATATTAATTAATGTAATGAGAGTACTACTACTACTACTAAAATTATTATTATTAAAGCACTATTTTTATAAAATCAATCAATTAGAGATGCTTTTGATTATTAAAATGTAATGAAAACATTCAAATGGAATCCAGAAAATTAATGGAACTAAAAATAAAATGGAATTAATTTTACTGACCATTTCCTTGTATCGTGCATGTTATATATTACTGATATTAACTATATGGCTCCGCGTTATCGTCAGGGCAGAACTATTGTTCCAGCCACCAAAGACAGATTCACAAATAACCTGCCTGATTTATCTCAACTGATCTGTGTACCAATAAATACACATGAAAACGACAACTTGAGATAAGCTATTACTAAATATAATGTAGAATCTTAAATTTTCTGTAAAGCTGCTTTGCAACGATTTGCATCGTGAAAAGCACTATACAAATAAACTTGAATTTAAT